ATGAAACTCTATATAATTCATATTAAGTAATGATATATCTCTCAATTCCAGCAACTTTTTTAAGAATATGTTAAAAAGCGACCGAGATATAGGGGAAAATGCTATGACCACTGATTGAACTTTGCTGGCGTCAAATATCAAGGTGTGAAATTCACTAAAGTCTAAAGTATAAGCTGTGTTATCGTTCGGAGGCATATATCATTGCGGCAACATTAGAAAGCTTATAATATAGTATTTACAGAATTTCTCAAAGTTCAAGCTATGTGCGATGTCGGCTTCAGTGACTTTTCTTTTTTTTCCTTTTTTTTTTTCGTTTGCGTTTTGTAGTCTATAGACTATAATTCTATAAAGATAAATGTGATAAACACCTTGCCAAAAAATATTAAAGTTTGGTTGTTTGTGATTGGTTAACCGCACGAGGTCACAAGTGGATTAACATTGGGGGTGGAGAAAATGACAGAAAGAGTGCAAACCTCGTCAAATCTTAAATCGTCGTTTGAAGAGAAAGCAAAATTACCCAATCTCCTTGACAAAAAAAGAGTTTAACGACAGAGCGTTTTATCCAATTGGTCCCAATCTTGACCACACTGTTAATAAATAATAAAGGAACAAAAGTGTGTTCGCATTTTCGATTTAGTGCATTATTTGTCAATGTGGAAGCATCTCTTCAATCGCTTATACCTGCGCAAGATAAGTCAATTTGTCTGCTTTATATCAAAACAAATACAATAGCTATAAAAAAATGCGAACACACTTTCTTCTTTGGACATTTGAGATGAGAAATATATTTTGGGAGCTCCTGAGTTAAACGGTCTGTCGTTAAATCTTGTGGCGCAAGAGGTGCTACTTTTCAAAAGATGTCTCATTGCGACTACAGGTTAAAAGGTGGTGAATTTTGGTTAAAACAGTAGCTTCTACAGTTAGTTATCATTGCATGTACCAAATTTGAGGAACGTAACTAAAAAAATGAGCACGCAGTGACAATTTTTCTGAAACAGGAATCTATCATATGATGTAACCTTAAAGCGATTTGCATACCCTATTAGATATAGTGATATGATACTTAGATTTGGAAGATCAATACCACAGTTCAGTATCATTACCAAACATATTATGGACCTGATCTATCAAGAGCGTGGTCATCGTCTCACATGTTTTGAGCAACCACTATTATCTCCTGCCAATCTTTCAAGCTATGGTGAAGTTATTCATCAAGCAGGGGCACCTTTGGTAAACTGCTGGGGCTTTGTTGATGGAACTGTTAGGCCAATATGCAGACCTGGTCAACATCAGAGAATCTTATACAATGGGCACAAAAGGGTTCATTCAATAAAGTTCCAATCAGTGGTAACTCCCAATGGTTTAATTGCAAATTTATCGGGTCCCTGTGAGGGAAAAAAGCATGACAGTGGCATGCTTAGAGAATCTGGCCTGCTTACCAGTTTAGAAGAACACAGCTTTTCCTCTACAGGAGATATCCTATGTATTTATGGTGACCCTGCATACCCTCTCAGACCTCATCTTCAAGCACCATTCAAGGCAGCTGTTAGACTAACAGAGGAACAACTTGCATTCAATAGGGCAATGAGTACAGCAAGGGTCAATGTGGAATGGGTGTTTGGGGGTATTGTAAACTTCTTTAAGTTTTAAGTGCAGTAGGAAAAGATGTATGTTGTTTGCTCATTGCTTACAAATGCTCGCACATGTCTGTATGGCTCTGTAACTTCAAACTATTTTAATTTAGA